AGCTAGAACAGCTCAGTTCTTATGTTACCCTTTTCTTAGCCAAAAAAAGTCATCTTTGACTTGAAAGGGAAAAATCAAACAAACAAAACTCATAAATGGCTAATATTGAGAGGAGAGAAGCACAGAAATTATAAGACAGCCTAGTTGTCCTTAATGAGTTCCAGTTACTGGGCCCAGATAAATTATGCCCCAGCATCCTGAATGTAATGGCAGATGTGACTGCTTAGCCATTGCCACTTATGGACCATGGAAATTGAAGGAGCACTGTTGGACCGGCAAAGGGTTAAATATTGCCCTGATCTTGAAAGAAAGAAAGGAAGGAAGGAAGGAAGGAAGGAAGGAAGGAAGGAAGGAGGAAGGAAGGGAGAAAGAGAGAAAGAGAGAAAGAGAGAAAGAGAGAAAGAGAGAAAGAGAGAAAGAGAGAAAGGAAGAAAGGAAGAAAGGAAGAAAGGAAGAAAGGAAGAAAGGAAGAAAGGAAGAAAGGAAGAAAGAAAGAAAGAAAGAAAGAAAGAAAGAAAGAAAGAAAGAAAGAAAGAAAGAAAGAAGAAAGAAAGAAAGAAAGAAAGAAAGACAAGAGTATCTACAAACTATGGGCCAGAGATGTTGAATTTGATTTTTGGCAAGCAAAAACTTAGAGTACATCATTAAAGGGATGGTTGGTGAGCATCGCAGATTACACAGAAGGCTCATTGTTTCAAGACTATTTTAGGAAAGCCTAACCTCGAGGGCAGCTAGGTGGTGCCATGGTGCATAGAGTGCCAGGCCTGGAGTCAGGAAGATTCATCTTCCTGAGCTCAAATCTGGCCTCAGACACTTACTAGAAGTGTGACTCTGGGCAAGTCACTTTACCCCATTTGCCTCAGTTTCCTCATCTATAAAATGGGGCTGATGATAGTGTTTACCCCAAGGTTGTTGTGAGGATCAAATGAGATCATCTTTGTAAAGAGCTTGGCACACAGTAAGTGCAACATGAATGTTAGCTATTATTATCTACACTTATACTAAGCACTGAGCTAAGCCCCAGCAATAAGAAAAAGATGAAGTTTTTAGGTCTAGAGCTGGAAGGGGTTCCAGACATCACTGAGTTCAATATCCCATCTTATTAGTGAGGAATCTCTTCAGAAGTCTGCTTCTCCAAAATTCCCTCAATCTTTAGGATTGGAGAGACTCTGCCTGTCCCAGAAAGCATTTATTCATAGGTGGCTTGAGGATCATAGACCTAGGGCTAGGAGGGACCTTCAAGGCCATATGACCCACTACTACCCCCACATTTCAGAGGAAAGAACTTAGGTCTAGGGAGGCTAAAATGCTTGTCCAAGGTCACAAAGGGACTCAATGGCTGAGTCATGATAACTATCCAGGTCTCCTGACCCCAAGTGAAGCACACATCTCACTGTACTAAGGTAGTGATTTGTTTTTGTTTTTGTTTAAGACCATAGGGGAAGAAAATGAAAGTGACAGAATGGAAAAAATGGTGAATAGTGCTTAGGGATTTCTCCATTTTCCTTTGATACTTTTTTAAAAATTACTTATTTTTCATTATGAACTTAATAAACACCTCTACATTCATAGAGGAACAGAAAAAGAGGGTTGTATGTGAAATTGCGAATCTACCATGTGTAGTATGTTTTTCTTCTTAAGTATATGATAAATTCCATATTAACTTTCAAAGCTGTCTTGAATGTCTGTGATTACTTCTGGTAGTCTTTCTGTTCTCTCCTGTGTATTTTTATTTTTCAACATTCATTTCTATAAGCTTTTGAGTTTTAAATTTTCTCCCCCTCCCTCTTATCTTTCCCCCTTCCCCAAGATGGTGTGTGGTCCGATATAGGCTCTACATATCTATTCATATTAAACATATTTTCACTTAGTCATGTTGCAAAGAAGAATTACAGACAATGGGAGGAACCACAAGAAAGAAGAAATAAAACAACAACAAAAAAAAGAAAGAAAGAAAGAAAGCAAATTGTATGTTTTGATCTGCATTCTGACTCCATAGTTCTTTCTCTGGATGTGGATAGCATTTTCCATCACGAGACTTTTGGAGATGTCTTAGATCCTTGCATTGGTGAGAAGAGCTAAGTCTATCAAAGTTAGTCAACACAACACAGCTGTTACTGTGTACAATGTTCTCCTGGTTCTGCTCTCTTCACTCAGCATCAGACCATACAAGTCTTTCCTGGTTTTTCTGAACCCTGCCTACTCATCATTTCTTAGAGCACAATAGTATTCCATTACATTCATATACCACAACTTGTTCAGCCATTCCCCATTTGATGAACATCCTCTCAATTTCCAATTCCTGACCACCACAAAAAGAGCTGCCATACATGTTTTTGTACATGCGGGTCTTTTTTCCCATTTTTATGATCTCTTTGGGATACAGACCTAGATGTGGTATTGCTGGGTCAAAGGGTCTTCTGTACACTTTTAAAACAATACTTCAGTGATTTTTTTCTTTCTTTTCTTTTCCTCTCTTTTTAAAGCAACCTTGTCCCTACCCTTTCCTTGCTTCCTCACTCTCTCTCAACTTAAAAAAAGGAAAAAACAAAACTTTCATTACACATATGCAGAATCAAATTTTAAAATTCCCACATTGGCCACATCCAAAAATGCATGCCTCCTCTGCACCTTGAGTCTTATCACCTCTCTGTCAAGAGATGGGTAACATTCTTCATCATTGTCTTTGGGAATCATGGTTGGTCACTGCATTGATCAGAGTTCATGAGTCAGCCAAAGATGTTTATCTTTAAAATGCTGTTTATTTTATCCATTGTTCTCCTGGCTCTGCTCATTTCACTCTGAATCAGTTAATATGTCTTCCCAGGTTTCTATGAATTCATCCTTTTGATCATCTCTTATGGTACAATAATATTAAATTACATTCAAATAGGATAACTTATTCCACATCCCCAATACTGATGAGCATACCCTTAGTTTCTAGTTCTTTGCCACCACAAATACATCTGCTACAAATATTTTTGTACTTTGGGGCATCAGTCTAGTAAAAGTTCTGTAACTCTTCCCCATGCCTAGAATGTTCTCCCTCCTTACATCCACCTACTGGTTTCCCAGTCTTCTTTCAAGTCTCAGCTCAGATCCCAGGCCATCACCAGTCATCCTGACTTTTGTTCCACCATTCCATTTCAATGACTCTGGAGGAGACCAGTGAGGCTGATGACTTTTCACAGCTCTGCCTCACTTCTATGTAATTCACACACAAGTGAAGACATCACTCCCTGACATCATTGGTCCTCTTAAAGAACAAAGGGTCAACAACAACGATGACATGCTCCGTTCTCCAACAGTAGAGTTTGTTTTGCTTGTTTTCCCACACCTGTCCTGCCCTCCCTCTTATACCCTGACTCCTTTCTCCCTGAGTCCACCTATTTCCCTATTATCTGAACTATTTCTATACTAAAATCTACCTGTGCATACATTGGTAGAGTCAATCTTTCTTTGTCTGATTCAGATGAAAATGGAGTCCACAGCAACCCCATCCTCCCACTCCTTCCTTCATATTTGTATATTCCTGATCTCATATACCTCTCTTCTGTGAACTAGTAAGTTCTCTTTCCTTCCACCTTCTTTATATACATATCTATGTATATGTATATGTATATGTATATGTATATGTATATGTATATGTATATGTATATGTATATGTATATGTATATGTATATGTATATGTATATGTATATGTATATGTATGTGTATGTGTATGTGTATGTGTATGTGTATGTGTATGTGTATGTGTATATGTATATGTATATGTATATGTATATGTATATGTATACATACAACATATAAAACAAAAAAAAACCCTGCCTATCTTATTTAACTTTCTCTGTGACCTCATCTAAGCTTTGTCATGCTTTTCTGAATTCATGCTCCTTGTTTCTTATAATGCAGTATTACTCCATCACATTCATGGCCAAAATTCCTCCATTCCCAAATTGAACTTCGCTCCTTCCTGTAACGTTTCACAGAAAATTTTTAAAAGTTAGACCTAAAAAGTACCTTAAAGATAATCTCATCCAACCCTCTCATTTGTACTATATTATAGTGGAAAGGGCATTGGTCTTAGAGTGAGAAGGTGTGGATTCAAATCCCAGATCCAACCTTTACCAGCCATGTGACCATGGGCAAATTACAATACCTCTCTGAGTCTCATTTTCTCTACCTGTAAAATAAGGATAATAATTATACCACTGTTTACTCCAAAGGGTTATTGCCAGGAAGTACTCTGGACTTTACAAGATAAATATGGGTTAGGATTATGATCAGGAGAACATCATGGATTAACATGAGCAAAGGTCAGATGTCAGAACAGGATGTCCCAATGGGACTCCACCCTTGAGAAAGCTCAACTTCCCTGGAGATCCATCTGCAACTCCTCCTACCTCCACACTTCCTTTGGCACAAAGGTGATTTCACTCATGTTGATTCAAATCCATCCCTGACCAGCCACAAAGGAATTGGAAGATGAAATCCAAGCCCATGGCATCAGTGAAGTTTGGTCCAAATAAAGACAGATGGAACTCAACAGATGCAGACACCAGCAACCCAGCCCTGCCCCCTCTCTAATTTCACAAGATCACAGAATATTAGAGCTGGGAGGGATCTTAATAATCATTTTGTCCAATTAACTCCTTTATTCCACAAAGGGAGAAACTGAGGTTTAAAGTAATGATAGGCCCATAGTCAGAGCTATGCCTAGAACCAGTGGGGTGTGAATAAATGTTTAAGAATTGGCTGCAGGTAAGGAGTGGGGTTGCTTCAAAGGTCTATGCACACCATACTAATAATTATCAATTGCATTATTAACATTTTCTCCATCACTTTCTTAAGTCTAAATCTCCATCCCTTTCCACACAAAGACCTGTTTCTGTATAGCCCTTGATCTAAGAATTGTCTTTGCATTTTAAAATATTTCATTCTTAGCTCTACAGCCATACCAAAGCACCTGTCTGTGCTCCTCTGGGCCTCCATTTACTCACCTGTAAAAGGACCAGATGGTCTCCAAGTATGTGATCCTTTGGTCCCACATAAAATAGAAGCTATGGGAGGTTATAGAAGAGAGTCAATCCAGGCTCCATGGCAGGGGTGGGAGGGGGAGACCTAGAAGGGTGGGTAGGATATGAATTGTGAGAGAAGAAGGCATATTCCAGAAATCACAGGGACCTGCCCCCCAACGTGGACAGGCTTCACACAGCCTGGCTGGCTAGGGTAGTCTCCTGTTCCCTCAGCACTGTCTCTTTCTCTTACTCCCAAATTCTAGGGTTACTCATGACTCATGCCTCAGCTCCCAAACCTCTGGCATTTGGAATCAATTAACAAATCACTTAGACTTCATGCTATAATCAAAGGCAAAACTATGTAATTAATAAAAGAAAAATAGTAATGACAGTCATGGTAACTACAACAAATATGAATCCCCACCCTGTCATGTATGTCCAGGGTGAAAACTGATCTGCCCTGGGGAGGAAGTCAGTAGATTAACATAAATTGCAGCAGTGCTTGGCCCAGTGGTGGGTGTGGGACTGGGGGGACCTGGAACAAGGGTAAATAATTCTCCAAGATGCAGCTTCTGGGCAAGCATGAAATGAAGACCAGAGGCCTTCCTTTCTAAAGTTACCTTCCATCCACTTTGTACCTATCTCGTATGTCCCTACTTATGTATGTTGTGTCCCCCTCCCCCACATCCCCTCCATTAGACTGTCAGCTCCCTGAGGGCAGGAATGGAGTGTTTTCCTTTTGTTGTATCCTACAGTGGCTGAACCAAGGTAGGTATTTAATAAATGCTTGTTCATTAATTGATTGAGTGTTCAGTCCTCTCCTGCTCTAGGGTCCTGACAATTCCACTCTCCTTTGATTTGCCCCACTCCCCTAATTCACCCCTGCCCAGCAGAGAAAGAGGGAGTCTCACACATCAATCCTCCCTGTATGGTAGGAGTGGCAAGTATAGAAGAATCCAGAATCCAGAAGCATGAGAAGTCTAGACCCTCACCATGTACAGAAAAGGGGTGACTTGCAGGAGTCTCCTAGCAACCAGTAGCCATCAGTCTCACCTTGCTCATCCTCTTTCTTCTCTTCCATTTTAACCTTCTGGCCAGTGCCTGCCCCTCTGTTACTTCTGCCTGGATAGTGAAAGCATCCCATTAAGAATCACAGAGATTCACCCATGCGGACCCCTCTTACTTAGGCAGGGGGCACTGCGAGGAACCAATTAATCAAGGCTAACACTTACACAGTGCTTCAAGGTTGGCAAAGCACTTCATATGCCATCTCTTTTGATTTTCACCACAACCCTGTGAAGCAGGTGTTATTGTTATTATCCCCAATTTACAGACAAGGAACCTGGAGCTGGGAGAGAAGTCAACAAACATATATTTAAGTGCTTACTAATCTGTGATTTTTCCCCAGGTCCCCCAGCTAGTAAGAAATGATTTACCTAAGGTCATACAGCTAGAAAGTATCTGAGGCAGAATTCAAACTCAGATCTTTCTGACTCCGAGCCCAATGCTCTATATCACCCTGTCTTCCTCAATGCAGAGAGGAATAAAGTTGGACAGACTAAGGACAACAAGATTAGAGAAGCCTTATAACAAATCTGATGAGCTATCAAGCCCTCATTCTACTTACCACACCCCAACAAAGATATGATTTACTTGGCCCACCTCTTCATTTCTTCTTGTTAGGAAGAATCACATGTCACATGAGTGAGGTCTGACTCACAGAAGAGGTGTCTTCCTCATAGAAGGGATGCCTCTTACACACATCCCAGAACCCCTTTCATGCCATCACTGATTGATCAAAGCTCATCCTCAGAGGCTAGACACCTTCTGAACAAATTACTATCAGTCCTGGTTTTCTGGAACTTTTGTTTGTCTGTTTTAAATAGTCAGTACATTGCTAACCATAGGTTGTCTCCTGACTTGGCCACTAAATTTATTGACTATATGAACGTGGGTAAAACTGTTTGACTTCTCTGGGACTCAGTTTCCTCATCTGTAGGATGAGAGAGTTGAACTAGGTGATCTCCAAAGTTCCTTCCAGGCCAGCGAGCCTATGAGTCTATGAAAGAGGGCAGTGATGAGACAGAAATAAGAGACTAGGAGTTAGGAGACTGGCCTCTGATTTGGCAGGACCAGATGCCCTCCATTAAATAAATGCTCATCCCCCCCAAAAAAAAAAAAAACATTGCCATCACATACACCACCTAACACACCAGAAAGACATCAGGGGTGGAAGAGGGGTGGGGGGTAATGCCAAACTCCCTGACTCAGACAACTACATGCTGCTATCCCTTTAGCATTTCATTTAGGGAATGTGGATTTATCCAGTCAGTACTCAAGGATATAACCTTTTCCAGTTTGCCCTTGAATATGAGAGCTAATACAGAACTAAATGCATCACTATTTCATCACAGGCTGGGTGCTCCACTGAGTCACTCACAAAATATAATATGTACAACTTTAATTAAATTAGAAGACACTTAATGCTAAAGCCATCTCTCTTTTGATTATTTTCCATTCATCCTGCATATATGTTGTTTGTATGTTGTCTCCCCTATTAGACTAGGAGCTCCTTGAAAGCAGGGACTGCCTTTTGCCTTACTTTGTATCCCCAGAGCTTAGCACAGTGCCTGACACACAGTAGGCACTTCATAAATATTTAATGATTGACTGACTGAATAATGTAAATAACATCAGTGCAACCCATATAGACGTTCCCTCCAGTCCATAAAATTGGAACATCACACCGGACAGCAACTGTTTTGTACCGAATGCTAAAAAATAAAATAAAATAAAATAAAATAAAATAAAATAAAATAAAATAAAATAAAATAAAGCATAGGCTCAGTTGCACCCCTAGCTTTTCCCAAAGTGTCCAATCAGTGCTATTCCCACTCATAGTAGGTCAGAGTTTGGTTTTTCCTATAATACATGATCTCGGAGCTCTAGGCAGGCTGGTCTCTCACACGGGTGAGACAGTCTGATACCAGACCTGATTTTGCCAGTGATCATCCCTTTTCTCTGGGTCCCTGCTTCCCTTAGTCCAGGGGAAAGAGGAAGACCTCTCCAGTCAGAGGACCCAAATCTGGATGCTGCCTCTGGGGATTGTCAGTGACAGTCAGTCACCCATCTTGGTCTTTATAATCCTAGTGCTTAAGAACAGAGTAGGTGCTTAAGACACTGCCGGTTGATTGATTGACTATCACTACCTATATGATCTCAGGCTAGTCATTGGGACTCAGTTTCCTCACCTATGAGATGAAGGGGCCAGACTAGATGGCTCGTGATCCCCCTTCCAGCTCTAGAACCCTATGACCTCTACAACCCTATGACCTCTACAATCCTATGATCTTGCTCTGTTCTTCCAGTACAGCCCGCTTCTAACTCAGTTTTACTGAGTCCACCATTTGTCCCTAGAACTGTCTCATGACAAAAGAAGGCACAATTTCACTATTAAGATATCACCAAAGAAAGGTGGCTGGGGGGGAGGGTAGAGGGCAGCTAGGTAGCGCAGTGGATAGAGTAAGACATGACTTCAAATCTGGCCTCAGACACTTGACACTTACTAGTTGTATGACCCTGGGCAAGTCACTTCACCCCATTGCCTTGCCAAAAAAAAAAAAAGGAAAGTGACTGGACATACAGGCTGGCTGGTTCTGACCTGGTTGCTAATTTTTTTAACTCTCTTATTCGAGTTTTTTTTTGGCAGCTAGGTGGCCAGTGGATAGTGCACTCATCTTCATGAGTTCAAATCTGGCCTCAGACAGGCTGTATGATCCTGGACAAGTCATTTCACCCTGTTTGCCTCAGTTTCCTGGTCTGTAAAATGAGCTGGAGAAGGAAATGGAAAACCCCTCCAGTATCTTTCCCCATGAAACTCTGAACGAGGTCAAGAAGAGTGAGATAGGACTGAAAAAACTGAACACCAAAATTCAACTTTAAAAATCCCTTTGCTCTACTCCAACATCTGACTTTCCTCTTTTATCCTGTTCCTGCCTTTGGCCAGGCCAGGGAGATTGATTGATGAAAGCACCTCAGAAGTTCAGGGTAGGCTGTTAGCATCAAGAAAAACAGGAAGGGATGCCCTTAAGAGTCTAGTTTTCTGGCCCTCTCTTAGGATCATCCTATCCATCTGGAAACCATGCAATTAAGGAACCAGAGCAGTGCCTCTTCTGACCAGCAGAGGGCACAATGGTATAAGGAACTTTGTCAAGGTCCCTCTGCAGTGAATCCTCAGAAATTCTCAAAATGCTTTTTACCTGATGCAGCAGAAACAGCTATGGTTGGAGTCCAGAGTTCTTTCACTGATTAGTGTACTCAGCCATTCTTCAAAGACCATTTATTAAGCACCTGCTATGTCCCAGGCACTGTCCTAAGTGTTATTTTTTCATGCAAGTTAGGGGAACCAACAAAAAAATCAAACACGTGTTACAAAAAAAAAAAGTGAGGAATGAGAAAGGGAATTAACAGCTGGGAAAGCTGCCTGAGGGAAGTCAACCAAGTTGAGACTAGAAGGAAATAGATAGGATCTGAAAGGAGGAGAGTTGCAGAAAATGCATTCCAGGTGTGACTTACAGCCCATACTTCCTAAATAAATAAATAAACAAACAAACAATGAAGGAACAACGAATAACTAAATACCAATAAGTAGGTAACAAGCCCCAAGATCGTTCTGCTGAGTAAAAGGAATAGCTAAGAGTTCTAATGGGATAGTCATAAAGCATAATGTAGATGAAGAGAACTAATATAAAATAAGCCTAGAAAGGCAAGGAGGAGCCATAGTTTGGAAGGAATCAAATGCCAGGCTAAGGAGTTTGTATTTTATAATAAAATAAGGAAGGAACTAGGGATCGATTTGGATCAGGGGAGTAACATGATCAGATCTGTGCCTTAGGAAAATTATGTTGACAGCTGTTTGAGGGCTGGATTTGGACAGGAAAGAGAATGGAGGCATAGAGAACAGCTGGAGGTTATTAATGGTGAAGAGGGTATGAATTAGGCTGGTAGATGTATGAGTGGAGACAAGGGAGATGAGGCAAGTGATTGAATATGGGGAGGGGAGAGAGGGAAAGAGAAGGGTCAAAAATAACTCTGAAGTTCCAAACCTGAGAAATTGGGAGAATGGTTGGGCCCTCCACACAAACAGGGCAGTTTGGAGGAGGGGCAGGTTTAGTCAATGAGTTCAGTTTTTGAAGGTGGAGCTTTAGGTACTGGCAGGATATTGGGGTACATAGAGGTGCCCAGATGGTAGCTGGAGATAGGATTATTGGACTAATATTGTTTTCCTGACTTACCTCTCTGGATTGACATAAAATTGCTTTAATTTTGTTGGGGAAGGGGAGAAAAGAAGTATGGAATGATAGAAATATTCTAGAAATATAAAATATTATTTGCTCTGAGCAAAAAACGTATCATCCCTGATCAGTTCTACCATTTTTGCATCACAGGGCCCCCTGGATAATTGCCTATACATACAGAGTATTAACTAACCAGTAGGATCGGTTCTGGGAAAAATCAAAATGTAGAGGTAAATCCCCAACCTCCAAACAGGTTGTGTTCCAGCAGTTCATTTGTAAATCAGTGGTTTGGAACTTGAAATTATTTTTCCATAAAAACAATGCTATAAGGTGGTATAAGCATTGGTTAGGTGCCCATGCCTTCACTCAAAAATCCATTTAACCCATAGTGTAGCCAAAGCATAGGAAAGTAGTTTAGAAATTAACCACCTGGGGGCCCATTGTTTCCATGAGAAACTGCTTCCAAGCTTCAATTCATGATTCCAAGGACCTATTTCTTGGTGATAGATGGAGTGTATCACCAAGGTGACCTAAGGAGTAGAAACTCCCATCAGACCTGTTGTATTCACTCATAGCAATGGGAATGGAGCTATGAAGTAGCAGGGAGAGTTCTGGGTTACCTCACAGCAATGGGGAGAGAAATTCCAGTAATTATGGCAGAAAGGTGACTTCCTAACCAGGACACAGGAAAGGCTGTATGTCAGGATTTTGTGATGGGGGAGGGGGAGGTGTGAAGGGGTAGCCCAACATCCTGTTTTCATCATCTCACTCCTCTCCTTCCCCTCATTGCTCCATGCCTTCATGATGCCCAGGAGCCCTCACTGC